ACGCAATACATTCTTACACTTGCTGCTATTCTATCCACTTTCTATCTTTGATTCGAAGTATTTTATCATATTCGGTTTCAGGTATTTGCGGTGACGCAACGTAAATATATCCTCAAGTGTCTCCTAAAATTCAGAGTAACATCTTAGAGATTATCGTATGAGCTGAACGGCCCCGCATATAATGACGAAGCCACAAAAAAAAAATTGAATAGTTGTCATCGATACTCCAAAACATCGGACTGAGTTATGGCTAAATGCGGTATTTTAAAATATCCATTAAGCTGTTCTATGGAATCAATTAAAGGATGTTTTGTGGCTGACTCAGCATTCCCAAGAGAGACAACGTCAATAAAAATGATATCAATACTGATTCCCTTCATGTTGATTAAACAAATTGAAGCCAAGTGCCTTGTGGACAATGCTAACTCACGCAACGGCGAGCAAAGTTCAAGACCTTGTCACTACCCACTCATAAAAAAAGAAAGAAAATAAAATAACGCAAATGGCAACGGAAGCGGAAAAATTTTGTTGTCGTCATAGTTTCCCACCTAGTTGAAAAAGAAAGAAAATTAAATAACGCAAATGGAAACGGAAGCGGAAAATTTTTGTTATCATAGTTCCCCTCTTAGTTGTCAATCGGTGGGAAAAGGGCGGAGCTACTTAACCCTTTAACTCCCAGATCAAATTCGTAATTCTCTTTATTGTAAACCATACAATTCTTATAATGTTAGTACAGAGAATTTAGTATTAGATCAACAAATTATCCCCAAATTGATATTTTTCTTTATTCTCATCACTTATCTGGTTGATATTTTATTGATATTGTAAGGAGAAATTGTGTCTTGGTCACTCATGGGAATAAAAGGATTAAGTAACGTGGAATTCTATCTATGGTAACTCAAACTCCCACCTTCCTATTTCTCTTAAGTTATTTCCGGTTCTATAGAAGTTTCCTCTCGATCACCAACCGAGTTCCGAGAAGTTAGGGAAGTTTTTTTCGAATGCAAAGTACAGAAAGTGTGAAGAAACATACCACCGGTGTTCTTCTTTCCTCGTACTTCTCAGTTTCATTTAAGTAAATGTATTTTACTCTATCTATAATTTAATATCGTTTATCACATCATTTTCACGCACAAATATCTCCTCCGCTGTCTCCCAAGTTCGATATTCCAAAATTCAAAGCAACATTTTGTATGGATTATATTGATTTAGCAATAATTTACCACAAAATTGTAGCCTCTTGGACACTGCTAACTAACACGACGGTGAAACAAAGTCCCAAACTTTATAAGGCAATGTTGGTAAATTTATTACCTCACTGGTATCTCCGTGAAAGTGAAAAAGGGGTTTCTGTGTAGCAGAGCTACACAATTAATCTGTATATCTTAGCGTGTCCGCACGTCTCAAACATAGAGTATATTTCAGCGAAGCACTGGTGTGTGTCCCCTCGGCGGGGACACAGTGCAAAGCTATCTGGGATACCCAAGTGAAAGGTGCGGTTACAAAATAATAAAAAAGTATAACTGCTTCGCAGGCTGTGCGGTAGATTTTCCTGTGGATCTAGGTCGCAAATAGTTTCTTCTAAACAACCACAATTCTAAGAACCATCCCAAGGAAGTGTCAAATACAGGTCAGTAAAATGAGGAAATATCTCACGGAAGGAGGAAACCCAAAAATTATAAACTGAGGACATCATTGGAGCGCAAAGAACAGACATTTCACAACAAGTTTTTTGTTTTATTAGTAGCAGCTTTCTGTGTTTCCCCTTCTTTTTTTTTTCCACGACGGAACCATCAAGCTTTTTGCTTGCACTAAACTGATCTCTATATCACCTTACGATAAAAAATAGCCTGTAAAGAGACTGGGATCGAAATTGTAATGCATTCGTCCCAGGTCCCGGCTGATGGATTTTGGTGAAAAATGCACCATTGTTAAAGTCTGGGAGGAGGGGGGGGGGTGTTTGGGGGGAACACGTGGTTTACAGTAAGAACTGAGGGGAGACTAGTCGTCTCTAACAGAGTTTGCAGGTGGGCTATAAAAAATTGACTACCAATGAGGAAGATTGTCCCATATACGGCTTGTAAATGAGTCACGAGTCGTAAAACTGAGTTATCGATCCGTGCGGATCGTAATATGTATTCATAAGTCGTACGATCCGTGTTTCGTTTAATAGATAGGCGTTGCCTCTTGTTGACAGATTTATTCGATGACAAGAATCGTGATTGACATTAATTCAATAGATTGACTTAAAAGCGTTAGGTAATTATGTTTCAAGTCAGTTTTTCAGCAGAATCGAAGTGAGGAAGAAGTTATTTTGTTATCGTTTTTCTGTCTCTAAATCCGCTTACCTGGAGAATCTGCTAACCCGTAAAGTGAGACTGTTGTAACGACCCGCCACAGAAGTAAGTTTACATTGAAATTTTGCAATTTAGTTACAAGATAAAGACATGATTTGCGTTTGTTCTAATTGCGAATTATAAATGTATTTCTTTTAGATAAAATAATTATTAAAGCTTAGCTTGATATTATACGGTTTGTGGTGGTCATTTGATCTAACCAGTTCCGAGTAAGGAAACAATCCGTACGAGTCGTCTAATTTGTTCACGAGTCGTAAGGTTGTGCTTTCGATCCGTGAATGTCATTAGGGAGACTTCAAATTTTTTCAACACTTGAGAGTCTTTCGGGCTTCTAGTTCTAGTGTCTTTCAGGTCATGGTGGACTTTGTCGATTCGTACCCTCCGTACGATCCTAGCAGATTGTCTAACGTATTCACGATTCGTCTAATGAATTCACAGGTCGTGCCGTCGATCCGTGAATCTCGTTAGGGATGCATGGGTTTGTCTGTTGTCATCGTAGTGTGTCGATTCTTGCGATTAGTACGATACGTGCGGATCTTTTAATGTATTCACGGGGCATACTCAAGGATTCCACTAGACGATATCCTGGGCATAACTTGATATGGAGTTGATAGGATGCAGTCCACGAGAAATTGCATTATCATGTCAATTTTTGCAACTGAGACGGCCGGATATTAATAATTTCCGGCAGCTACGTGACGCAGTCTCTTTTGCAGACTTCAAAATCTTTACCTCACAATGTCTTATTGTCATAGATTGGTTCGCACGACAGCTGGGTTTGAGCCATTATCACCGAAGAAAGATCAGTTTAAACAACGGTCTCGGTTCGCCACAATCGTGATATGAATATATTGTTATATACTGTAAGGTTACATGTTCTTTAGAAGTCTCCAGGCTATAAATCGGCTCTCACGATCGCTGGGTTTGACTCATCAGAAAAGAGTTAAGAAACTATAACTTAAAAAACAGCCTTAGTATTTCTCAATCGTGATATGATTATATTCTGTAAGGTAGTATGTGCTTTAGAAGTCTCGTAGCCATACAATGATTTCACGTTCGCTGGGTTTGACCCATAAGTTAAAACAGGACAAGGTTCAGTTACTGACAGCAGTCTTGGTTTTCCGCAATCGTGTTATGACTATATGCTCTAGTTTTATATTCTTTAGAAGTCTCCCAGCCATAAAGTGGCTCCCATGACCCTTGGGTTTGGTAAAATAAAAGACTAAAGAAATCTTCCATTAAACAACAGCCTTAGTATTCCACAATCGTGTTATGATTACATGTTGCTGGGTTACGTGGGCTTTAGAGGCCGTTACCGGCGTAATTTAAACAAAGCCAATCCAGTGTTTTGTCTTTAGTATTTCAAATTCAATCGCACAATAAAACCTCACGCCACAGACGTTGGCACGCTTTTGCTACCAGAGAACAATTCCAAACAAGTTACACGTTTTCAGACGTTGTTAATTAGATGTGTCCTTATGACAACATTGAAAGAATTTCTATAGACACTGGGTGTCTCTGAGCCTGGAGTGAATCAAAAGGCTTTGAACAGCGAGACGTTCACTAGTTTGCCCATTAGTGAAATAGATGAGTCGCCATGACATATTCCTACTGGTTTCGCTTCGTTTAAAGTCGGTAAACTTTTGCGTCGAGCTCGGATTGTTAGCACTAATTTTAAACATCATTTTTCGACAAAAGCGTCCCTTTGTCTTGCAACACGCCGTTAATCACTTAAGTTGGCTCTAACAACGATTCAAATAATTGTTATTAACTCGTAAATAATCGTTGATTGTAAAATTTTCTTCATTTGACGGCGGCATTTTTCAATACCCGTGACTTCATTCAAGGTCAAAACTCTAAAAACCACCGCTATAAATCAAGACTCCTTCACGCGACTTATGCCTAGAATAGCACAGCACGAAAAATTTCAAGCCTCGGGGTAAAACAGCGGCTTCACAAAGAACTCCGTTGTTGAAATAAAGCTTTTGTTTAGTCAGGTGGTAATGGTAAACTTGTGTATTGAGTTTCGCGAAACTGTTATTTACTCATCTGTTTATTTCGTTAAAGTTTTGTTTAATGAACTTTTAATAAGCAACACATCAACCGCGTTTACGCAATTTTCGCCGACCTGAGCTTTTAAACTCTCATTATCTTGTCTTGTGATTTCGCACTCAATAAAACAATTTGTCAGATCTTTAACATAAAACATTCTGATAACAGACTAGGCATTGATTATCTCGTAGATAGGTAAATACGTAATTCTGTGTTTCAAACGAATAGAACCCCATGCAGGCGAAGCTTTCAAACAATTACTAAAGCATCGCGGCCATGTATTATTCGCGGTGTTTACAAAACCTTCCAAGTGCTAACGAGTTTGCTGACGATAAACAATAGAAATGTAAAAACACGCTTATTTCACGTGGTCTCACCTATTTCACAGTTTTTATATTTTACACCGATACCTCCCTGTTCTCAGGAGCGTTTTTCTGTTTACAGAAATCCGTTTTGAACTGGAGTTATCAAGTGTAGTATTATGAAAAGAATGCATTGTGGTTTCCTAGGTCTCTCGAGAACACTTCATGAGGCACTTAACCTGAAACAATGATTCTATGCCATCTATTTCAAAAAAATTTCGTACTTTATTGATCCATAATGTAACAGATATACAGATATCAAAGTATGTAGATCCTTCGTGCTAATCAAATCTTAAGAATATGTATATGTATATGATAAACGCCGAGAAATTCTGTAGTTCTCCACGCGACACGGCAAGCGTCTCGAATAGTGTGTGATGAAAAAACGTAATTTCCTGTTGCATGTGGAGTGTTGACATCTCACGCGAAAGGGCGGAAAACTAATTCAACCTAAATATCTTCCCAATCCAAAAAGATCAATTACTAATTAAAACAACACTATTTGATTCTCCTCGATTTTCATCAGGAAAGCAACTTGATTGCAATGTTGAAACAAGGTTTTCGTTTACCTTTCTTTAAGACAGTTTTCAGACTTCGCATCCGATATACGCTTGATTCTTTATGTCAAGTTCGCTGAACGAAGTACTGTTGAGATCTGATTAAAAGTCAAGGACGTGTTAAGTTAAGATTGGTTCAAGTGAGAGTGATTATCTCTGATAATAACCTGCCTATTTCACGCGATTAAAAACCCATCATGATCATGACGTAAACACTTATTTGGTATTCGGTGAAATGCTTCATTTCATAAAACTGATAAATCATGGTCTCCTCTATAAATTTATGAACTTTACAGATAGGTTTGAGACAGGGCTTCTTTCAAATACATACACGACGGATTATCTCGTTCAATCTTGAAACGCTGTCGTCTATCATAACTGTCGGCTTTGAACCGACCCTCTCTCACGGTGTTTGATTCACTCTCAACAGAGCTTGTTTCGCTATCTGACTCCTGGCCTTTCTGAAGCACCTCAAACAGGTCTCCAATGTAGCGGATTGCAAAGCGCAGTGTTTGTATTTTGGACAGTTTCTTCTCTTTAGGAGCGAAGGACGAAGGCAGGTGATACCTTAGTTCTAACATAGCGGCGCTGATACTCCTCATCCGAGAACGTTCTCGAGCATTCGCTGTCTGTCTCTGCTTGCTCAGACCAGTAAGCCGCGGCTTTCTGCGCCGTTTTTTCTTTCTATTTACTCCTGCTTTGCTTTGCGCTTGTAACTTCTCAACAGCCATGTTTGGTCAGTAGAATTCTTGCCTTACGGTGTGGATTATTGGCGAGACTCTCGTAATATTGACCAACAGCGTTAGACCGATCTCTGCTTACTGAAATATGGCTTCCTCTTCCGCGTGTTAGCAAAAGTCTTTTCTTTGGCGCGCTAACCAGGGACTACTAGTTGAACAAATCCAATCGTGTGATCAGTTCTAATAGGAAAAACTTTCCAAGAAGCGCTTGGAATGTAATGGAAACGGGAAGTGGGCCAATTTAAACGAGTCGGAGTTAGGTTTACCTGAACGTATAAAGTTGCAGTGGCGCTCGTGTTTTCAACTGTGAAATCAACTTCTCTTTAATCAAATAAACCCCGACGGATAAATTAGAGGTTTGCTCTCCAATCAACCGTCGCTTCAAACTGACCAGCACATAGACAAAGAGTGATCAACATCATGTAGCGTATTTATTTCAACAATTGCACAAAATCACTGCAGGAGAGGAGCATTTTTTGGCTCCTAAAGAAGCTTCAACCTAGGTGGCCGGAAAAAGCTGTTCTACCACTCTTTGTTTAACCTTTCAGATGCGCATAAGGCATTTCAAGATCTTTGTCTCTCTGCAGACTTCGAAACAAAGCACTTGCTGTCACTAATAAACTAAGATATCAAACTTGTAAACGAGAACAAATTACTGACCTGGAAAAAATTTTAACTCTATGAAGACAATTTAATTCACGCTAATGACAAATGCGCAGTGTTGAAACACCGAGTATTTCCAAGTTACGAATAGCATATCAAAATCTTTACTGCCTTAAGATGAAGTTACAATAGGTTTCTAAAGGGAAAAAGTTCATGGTAGCATTCCTACTAGAAGGTTTCTAAGACGTTTTGCCTCCAGGGTCACCCGGCAATTAGGCTTCAGATAAAGAAATTCTTTACGCCGAACTAAGCATTACACAATGTGGCTTCTACCATGAGACAATAAGCTACCTAGGGGAGCCTGACGCGATGTTTGTTTTATCTTGGTGTTTTATCAAAATAAAACGGTTATCTCACTTCTGATCATGGTCGAAGTTATGAACACGAGGTACTGTGTCCATCGACTCCAATTTGAGCATCTGCCTCCGATCAAATATGCATGGGACATGATTATTTATCACCTTCCTTTCATGCGGTAACCAATCCTTTACAATTAAGCTGTTGGCAAATTACTTTAGGCTATTGCATAATAACTGACGCTCTCTAAAAATAGTCCATCGAAGAATTTGCATCATTACTGGGTAGAACTGTTACCGGCAACCTCTACACTGTCCTCGTCATAGACGGTTAGGCAAACGAGCGTGAATGAATGTCTGAACGAGAGCAGGTGAGGGATTAAAACGTGGCTGTCGGAAAAACAGAGGGCAAGGATTCGCACTCTCTCACAGGTCTTTAATCCTACTTTGCTGTTTATGAATTTCATTCATAACAATTCATCAGCCAATGTTTTGATATCAAGCTCCTATTGGCGTTGTTTGGTAAACCTCTAGTCTACATTATTTGTTAGTTTTATTTTCATTTTGTTCTTGTTTTGTGTGTGTTTGTGTATATGTGAACATTTTCTTCACTTGCTACGCAGTTTTATCTTTTCTATTTCTGGTTCGGTTGGAAGGCCTCTGACGGCCGAGTTCCTTCTACGGTTGTCTTTCTCTTGTCTAAGGCGCATTTTCAATTTCTTGCTCGTGTTTTTCTTTTTTCCATATTCACTGTGTACCGAATAAAAAATAAGACAGAGTGATGTAACCAACTTTTATCCGGACCTACCACGGCCAAACAGCGCGGTACACTTTCTTTCAGAGAAATAGGGGACTTAAACAAAGGAAAACAAATTAGTAAAAGATGACACAAAACAGAAACCTTTAATATGCGACGGCCATGTCGAGAGCCTAGAATTAAGTGTTGTTCTTGCCCGTCTACCTTCGCAGCTAACACGGGTTTGGAGTGGTATTAACATAGCTTTTTTTATTTACAAGGACTAAGGTTGGCCGCCGCTTGGAAAAAGTCAGTCGGCTCTCCTCTAAGTTTCTCACACTTCTGAAGTTTCAAAACGTCTGGAAAGCATAGCCATTTTAATGCACAAAGGAGTATCGTACATAATTAACGATGGACAACAAATACATTTTATTTCACATCAAATTATTTCATCAACTAAACGAATAACTCATTAGAAAAATAATCAAGTAGATAAATATTTACAGTAGTGAATAACAGACAGAATGTTAGTTATTCCAGGACGTAAATCACTAACATCTGCACTAGAATAAATAGTTTAATGTCTTCTCCACATCTTATTTACGACTTCAAAATAAGCGAACAGCAAACACTTCAGCTGATTACAAGAGAGTGGGCAATTTTATTCACACTGGATCTACCACTTGATGCGCTGAAGTTGAACTTTCTAACATCGAGGAATTTTCATTCTTTTCTTCTGTTTCAGTATCGTCAACTCCGGCCGGATTGGCTATCAAACTTGTGTCTTCGTTACTTTCTCTAAAAAGACAAAAACAGACAGAGAGAAAGTCGTTAATGATTAACTAACTAAATAAATGAATAAATAAATAAATAGAGACAGACAGATGTATTAATAAAATACCGAAAAAGATTGAATGAAGTTTTTTTATCTCAAACACCAGAACTCTCCACGTTCCCATTATTGAAAGCTTGGGGAGCACATCACCAGAAGTGAACTTATTGATAGTACATTGCTGTAATTCTATCCTAGATACCTAGAAGGTCAATTTTCAGTAGATGTATAGGATTTCTTACTACTGTAGGTGGATCAACGGATTTATCAACTATATGTACCACTTCTTTATTAACACATCAGTATTACAAAACATCAAACAAAGAATGTCTCATAAACACACAAGGATAACTTACACACGTGGTTTGTCCTCCAAAGGCAGAGTAGGAGTTGGGCGATCCTCACTGAAGGGTGTGTCTGGAGAAAATTTCAAACGAACCAAACAATCTCGTCAGGCTGATAGTCGTCACTTATAACACTGAAGATATGGGAGAGTGTCAGGGCTATATGAGCAAAAAGTGCCTTGAAGGTTCAATGTTTTCAAGGCGTTTTGGACTCGGCCCCAAGCCTTGGTGCATAGCATGACGGAGTGCATTAAAAAGAAAAATTGTTTTGTAAATAGACTGAGAAAGATGGTAAGTTTCGAGCTCGGTAAAGAAATGCAGAAAGGAGACTTTCGTCTTGTCACGAGCGTGTGACAGAAGAAAAAATTCTGAGTTCCCATGGGGAATTGAACCTCAGACCTCCAATTCCGCGTTCCGATGCTCTACCACTGAGCCACAGAGACTCTACGGTGAGCGAGGTCTATTACGAAATTCTTAAGCATACTGCTAGGATTAGCAATGTTGATAGCCTCATGTTTGTAAATAGAATGAGAAAGATGTTGAGTTTTGAGCTCAGTAAAGAAATAGACAAAGATGTTTTTAGTCTTATCACGAGCGTGGGACAAAGGAAAAATTGTTTTTGTCCCCTTTCATAGTCCCAAAACGAAAATGCAGCAAAGTCTATTGTGCGCAATGTTTGGTTAGTCCATTTCCATCAACAGCCGAACATCTTTTGCTGTCAAATAATTAAACCGCCCATCTCAAATATACGTCTTTCAGTGATGTGCGACGGCGATGTCCTACAATAACGCATGCGCAACTTATAAAACTAGAAATGCAAAGATTTGCAACCGGAAACATCATAGCCCTTTACGTCTGCAGAAATCTGAGACCATCTTAGAGAGCGGCTTACTAGGTTGTCAATCAAATCAAAGGTAAGTGTTTTTATATTGCTCGCCCATATCATCCTTGATCCGGAAAAATCTAACACGTGTAATCGTACGTTGTAGTTTTGAAATGCGCTCATCTTAACTTTATTAAAATGAATACAATCTTAGTGCAAAGATTTCTTGGGCTAGTACCACAGATTAAGGGCTCAGAACAGGCTGGAGTACTTTGGCTGACACAAGTATTTGTTTTTTCAAGCGTTTAATTTTGCTTTGTTGAATTTGTTTTCTGTTTTCACGGAGGGATCATGTTTAGCAGAAAATTGAGCCCAACCAGAACCGTAGTTCCCAGACAAAGGATCGCAGTAAAAGAGATATTAGAGAAGTCTACAGACTGAAATATCCGTCATGTTTTGGAGTTTTCATAAAGCTCATAGGAAGGGGTTTAGAGGCACCTCTCCTATAAGGACTCTACCGTTCAAGGTGCCCTTTTTCTAGCCCTGAAGGGCACCCTTGAGTTAAGGCCCACCTATATTGGTCCTTACCTGCAGCTGGTCTGTCAGCTGTGTTGAAGGGTACTGTGTGCTTAGTCTTATCAGGCTGTACCTTTTGAAAATCAAACAAGACACGAAATTAAATCGTTTGCCATTTGAAAACGACGCAGACCTAATTGTGGGAGGTAAAACATTACTTGCAGGCCAACATTGAGGAGGCCGTAGGAGGCAACAGGTGTCCCAACAAATGTGTTTTCGGGAGTAAATAGAGTATGACGATGGTTGTCAACTTTGCCCCAAAGTTTTTCGCCAGGTTCTCCCGCATTTCACCTTTCTTCAATTATTAACAGTGATTCCACATTATACAGTGAAGGAACAGCCATATCTGGGACAACTTTCCGTGAAATTCGACCTTTGTCCAAGGATAGGGCTATCACTCGATCATATATACACTCGATTGCAAACTTATATATATATATATATATATATATATATATATATATATGTTTGTAACACTATATATATATATATATATAAATATACATATACATATATATAAATATATATATATATATATATATATATATATTTCAATCGATGCACATAATTTAAATCCATAAAAATATATTAATTTGGATTGTAAATATTCTAACTCACCAAGGTTCTATATGGTCTTCCAGCTGCGTAATCTTTCCTATCCGTAACGATAACTGCAGGACCGTCACTCTAAAAAAAATAAAATAATAACACAGGATTGAATGAAGGGAAGTGGGGGTGGGCTGGAGCGTTGTTGTCGTACTGAATAATTATTGAGTGATCACACCCCACCCCTCCCCTGTGTGTATCATGCCATAGCTAAATACATGTAGCCAAAGGTTATAAACTGAATTCGCTATTCTTAATCTGTACTAATCTTCTCATCCACAGCTGGGTTCCCTGTGAACTTGAAGTGAGCCACATAATAAACATACCGCGTACACCACAGCAGCATGCTGAAGTCTGGCCGCTTGTCGTTGAAGGGAAGTTCTCAGGAAACTTTCGTCCTTCAGTGCGTGTAACCTAATACCAGAATTTCGGATGTTAAACATTCACATTTTTTCAGCTTCTCAATGCTGAACGAATTAGGAACAATAGTATAACGACATGTTTGCC